ACATGGTAAAACCCGTCTCTACTAAAAATACAAAAATTAGCTGGGCGTGGTGGCGGGTGCCTGTAGTTCCAACTACTTGGGAGGCTGAGGCAGGACAATCACTGGAACCTGGAAGGCGGAGGTTGCAGTGAGCCAAGATTGCGCCACTGCACTCCAGCCTGGCAAAAGAGCAAGACTCCGTTTCAAAAAAAGAAAAGAAAAAAAAATTACAAGCATATTTGTAATTTATAAATCACTACAAAATTAATAAACTGAAGGATCAGAAAGCTAAGATAGATATGGATGCATCTGTTTTAAAAGTTGCCTTTCTAAATCTTAAAACGAAAAAGTTTAAACTTTACAATATACAAAGGAAAAAATTTCTAAGTAAATATTGTATGGTTTGATTAAATAATATGGAAAAGCCCAGGTAAAATGCAAAAGGAGTATACGGAAAAAAGTAGTTTTTTTTTTTTTTTTTTTTTTTTTTTTTTTTTTTTCCAGTTTTTATACACAGGCCTTTTGTTTTTTAATAGAAAAACACCTATAATGTTAAAACTCATTTAGTCACTACAAACCTTTTAGGTACTTGTTTTTGAATTCTTTTTTAACTGAAGCATAATCTTATAGAGAAATGCATAGAATATAAATGTAAAGCTCAATGAAAAACCACAAAACAAATGCTGGCATGATTCCCTTGTAGGTCAAGAGCACTGCCATGCCAGAAGGGCCCCTTCCTTTCCCTCTTCCAATCACTAGGCCTGTCATCCTCTGAAAAGGTAACCAACTAATTTACTTCCAAAAGTATAGTTTACTTTTGCCATTTTTGAACCTCATATACATACAACCATAGTATGTACTCTTTTATTAATGGCTTTATTTCACTTAACATTGTGAGATCTGTTACTTACAGATATACTTCATTAATTCCCACATATTATATTCCACTTATGATTATTGCATAGTCTAGTATATTCACTCAGTATACCATCAAGGGTTATTTGCATTATTTCCAGTTGGGACTATTACAAATAACTCTGCTACGAGCATTCTTTCTCATGTTTTGATTGTCCCACATCCTCCAACATCCCAGAAGGTTTCCTTATGCTCCTGTCTGGGGCAAAAGAACCACTCTTCTGGCCTTTATCACTATAAGTATTTATTTACAAATTTATAGGTAGTTAAGGAGTCCATCTGTCTATCCATCCACCCATTCATATGAAAGAAATCATAAATTTATGCTCTTTTGTATCTGGACTTTTTTCTCAGCATTTTATATGACTAAGCCATGGGTGTTGTATTGTCACAGCACCTCTTTTTCACTGTAATGCTGTCATCCACTGTACAAATATACCACATTTAATCCATTTTCCTGTTGATGAAAATTTAAATTGTTTCCAGTCTGGGGATATCATAAATATTTTATGAACATTCCTAAACATGTTTTTGGCACATGTAAGTACCTCATTCTCTTGAGTATACACCTATGAGTGGGTCATAGTGTATACATGTTTTAGCTTTAGTAGATACTGCCAGTTTTCTAAAGCAGTTCTACCAATTACATTTTCACCAGGAATATGTGAGAGTTCTAGCTGTTCCACATTTTTGCCAATACTTGGTATGGTCAGTCTTTTAGTTTTTGCATCCTGTTTTGGTGAAATACAGTATCTCACCGTAGTTTTAATTTACATTTTCCTGATAGCTAAAGGTACTGAGCACCTTTTCTTATGCATGTTAGTCATCTGGATATCCCTTCTTTGTAAAGTGTCCATCCTAGTCTTTTGTCCATTAAAACTTTTGAGTAACCTGATTCCTACTGATTTGTAGTTCTTTGTATATTCAAGATATGAATCGTGTGTCAGATACATAAGTATTGCAGATTGACCTCCAGCCTGTGGTGTCATTTTCTTTCTATTAAGAATATCCCTTAATAAAAAGTTTTTAATTTAAATAAAATCAATTACATCAATCACGTATTTTATAGTAAGAACTTTTTGCATCCTGCGTACCTTTACTATCCCAAGATCCTAAAATTTTCTCCCAAGTTTTCATCTAGAAGCTTTATTTTTTTTTAATCTATCACACTTAGGTGTATAGTTCATTTTTATCTATGTTGTGAGGTTAGGTTGAGTTTACTCAATTGACTCACTACTATTTATTTGAAGGAGCATCCTTTATCAAAATGCAGTGGTACCTTTAGTGTAAACCTACTTCTGCTACTGTTCCATTTGCCTGTTTATCCTTATGCCAATACCACACTGAATTACTGTAGCTTATATTTGGTGTTGATACCTGGTAGTTTTAAGTCCTCTAGCTTTATTGTTCTTCAAGATTGCTTTGGTTATTCTAGTCCTTTGTACTTTCAGATAAATTTTAGAATCTACTTTCTAATTTCTACAAATAAACCTGCTGAGCTCTTGATTAGAACTGCATTCAACTTATGGATAAATTTGGGAAGAACTGACACCTTAATATTGAATCTTCCAAGTCATGAACATGGTACCGTTTTCCCTTTAGGCATTCTTCAATTTTTCTTAGCAGTATTTGTATTTCAGTGTAGAAGGCATAAACATCTTTCACTAGATTTGTTCCTAGGTATTTTATGTATCTTCATGCTATTGTAAATGGCATTTAAATATCTTCTAATTGTGTGTGTAAAGAAAAATAACTAGTATTTGTTACTTGACTTCGTATTTAGAAATTTTAAAAATACACATTAACAGTTTGACAGATTTGACTTTTATGCATGCACAGTGACATTTGTGAATGATAATTTTAACTTCCTTTCTACCCTTTATGTCCATTGCTTTATTCTTAAAACTTTTTTACGCTCAGAGGTACATGTGCAGGTTTGTTTTATAGGTAAACTCATGCGCAGGTTTGTCTTAGAGGTAAATAGATTATTTCATCACCCAGGTACTAAGCCTAGTACCCAAGTTATTTTTTCTGATCCTCTCCTTCCTCCCATGCTCCACTCTCAAGTAGGCCCCAGTGTTTGTTGTTCCCTTTTGTGTCTGGGTGTTCTCATCATTTAGCTCCCACTTATGAGAATGAAAACATGCAGTATTTGGTTTTCCTTTCTTGTGTTAGTTTGCTAAGGATAATGGCCTCTTGCTCCATCCATGTACCTGGCAAAGGACATTATCTCATTCTTTTTTATGGCTGTATAGTATTCCATGGTGTATATTTACCACATTTTCTTTATTCAATCTTCCATTGATGGGCATTTAGGTTGATTCTCATGTCTTTGCTGTTGTGAATAGTGTTGCAATGAACATATGCATGTATGTGTCTTTATGGCACAAAGATTTATATTCCTTTGGGAATATTTACGCAGTAATGGTATTGCTGGGTCCAATGGCAGTTCTGTTTTTAGCTCTTCGAGGAATTACCACACTGCTCTCTACAATGGTTGAACTAATTTACACTCCCACCAACAATGTATAAGTATTCCCTTTTCTCCACAACCCTGCCAAAATCTGTTATTTTTTAATTTTTTAATAGCCATTCTGACGGGTGTGAGATGGTATCTCACCGTGGCTTTGATTTGCATTTCTCTAATGATCAGTGATATTGAGCTTTATTTCATATGCTTGTTGGTCACATGTATGTCTTCTTTTGAAAATGATCTGTTCATTTCCTTTGCCTACTTTTGATTGGAGTTGTTTTTATCCTGTAAATTTAAGTTCTTTATAGATGATGGATAGACCTTTGTCAGATGCAGATGCAGTTAGCAAATGTCTTCTCCCATTCTGTACGTTGTCTGTCTACTCTGTTGACAGTTTCTTTTGCTGTGCAGAAGCTCTTACGTTTAATTAGAAACCCATTTATCAACTTTTGCTTTTGTTGTGATTGCTTTTGGCATCTTCACCATGAAATCTTTGCCAGTTCCTATGTCCTGAATGGTATTGCCTAGGTTGTCCTCCAGCGTTTTTATAGTTTTGGATTTTACATTTAAGTCTTTAATCCTTCTTGAGTTGATTTTTTGCATATGGTGTAAGCAGGTCTAGTTTCAATCTTCTGCATATGGCTGTTTATCCCAGCACCATTTAATGAATGGGGTGTCCTTTTTCCCATTGCTTGTTCTTGTCAGCTTTGTTGAAGATCAGATGGTTGTAGGTGTGAGGCCTTAATTCTGGTTACTCTATTCTGTTCCATTGGTCTATGTGTCTGTTTTTGTATCATATCATGCTGTTTTGGTTATTGTTGCCCTATAGTATAAAGTCAGGGAGCATGATGCCTCCCACATTTTTGTTGTTGTTGTTGTTGTTGTTTGGCATAGGATATTGCTGTGGCTATTTGGACTCTTTTTTGGTTCCATATGAATTTTAAAAGTATTTTTTCTAGTTCCATAAAGAATGCCATTGGTAGTGGGATAGAA